GATCACTACTACTTACATATATTATCTTATGTGCTAAGGAACCCTTAACATTTTCAAATAAGTTACTCCCCTACTTAGAATGATTTCTGCCACATGCCTCTTCCCTTCTGGTGTTCAGACCAGGTTGCTCTGTTGGTGTCTATCCCCAGATGTCTCAGTTGATTGAGCATCATTATTGTCAGTACAATTTTACTTGGAATTATATACTTCATCAGAGGATGAAGCATTGAATACATCTTACAAAAGTTAATGGAATAAAATTATTTAATTTAATTCCAATTTGGAAAATTCATCAGGAAAGATGCTGCATCATTCAGGTTGTAAACAGAATGCTGTTTCTAGCCACCTTTATGAAACAGGCTGCTAAGTGCACTGTTATTTCTGGACCTTCTCCTAAAGCTTTGCATTGACTTAAATAGGCCAGCCCAGTACGTGCTGCTTTGTTATGAGTCCATATGGAGTGATTTTTGGTAAGAAGCTAGCTCCTAAAGTACCTGTAAAGCAGTCCCCCTTTCTGCACTTCAGTAATCCTAAACCAGCTGCTTTGCCTCCTAGCTGAACACATGGGGATGAGGCCCATCATCATAACAATAATACCTACTGCATCTGACTCACTGCAGCTCCTGCTGGGAGAAGTAATAAAATGTGCATTTCTCTGTGCCTGTGAGAGCTGCCACAGTACAAGGAGGTTTCACTTCCAAGTTCAGATTTTGTGGTTGTAATTTACCTCCCTCATTCTTTTCGTAATCTTTGAGTACTGTGGGAGAATAGACTGTGGTGTATGAGGAAACTACCTGCAGAAGCTGAACAAAGTGTGAGATCTATATTCATGCTTTCAGGAGTATTCCTTGGTGGGAGTGTTGTGTTCTCTGCACCACAGGAAAGAGAAAACAAAGCTGAGTACATCTTGCTCCACAGCACAAATGAGATCTGTGTGAACAAACCCCTGTCTGCAGCAAGCCTTTGCCCAATGAATGTTCAGCACACAGACACTGACAGCCTTGGTAGAAATTGCTGAGGGATGGAGGGGAATTATCTGAAACATTACCATTTACCTTACAGCAGCAGCTTTGCATCTTGAAACATTTACATTTCACCTGTAATTTAATCTCTATTATTAACAAATTGAGGAAACTCTTTTCCCTAGGCAACAGACCATCAGACTGGGTATCGAGTTTGTCAGCCAATAATATTACTAAACGCACATGTAGCCTCATAGATGCTCAAAAAAGAAGTAGCTGTACATATGAAAATGGATATGCAGCTCTTTTTCAAGTTAGTAACATACAGTAGCTGTATAGATACTGTCCTGGGCAACTGGCTCTAGATGGCCCTGCTTGAGCAAAGGGGTTGGACAAGATGACCTCCAGAGGTCCCTTCCAGCCTTAGCCAGTCTGTGATTCTGTGATATGTTAACTTTCTTTCTTCAACTCATTTGTATTACACAGTGATGTCTTTCAAAATGATTCATCTGTCATGGTCCACAAAGGTCTCTGTTTTAAAAGACTTCTTTAGCAAATATCCTAATGGGGAGATTTTCAAATACTTGTAATTAAATTCTGCACCTTTGTCTTCTTCTGTACTGAGTGATATTTTGGCCAAGTAAGGAAGATCTAATATAGGTATCTTAAGGTTGAGATTGTTAGATTCAGGAGAATTGCTATATGTTAAAAGTATAAGCAGGTGTGCAGATAATAGCAGGCATTGAAAGAAAAGATTTTTTGAAACCATTTCAATTACTTGCCATGTATAATGGATTGAACAAGAAGCTATATTCCACACCGTGAGGATTTGAATGCCACCTTATTCAGTTTGAGAACAAAGAGAATTTCAGTTTATGTGTTCTGTGTACGTAGAAGAGGCAGCAGAATGGATTTGTTGTGCAGAAATCATGGCTAAGGTGGCACTGAGAACAGTGTATATAAAGGGGTTTGTGTGGCTAAGGGCAAAAAAACGTTTGTTTATGGACTTCAGTGTGCTTTTTGTGCATTGCAACAATAAGCAGCAATAAGATCTGAACCCTCCGAAGAGTTTAAGGGGCTTGGTGGAACAGGTACAATTAATCTGTGTTTGGTTGTTAAACTGCAAGTTATATAGGTGTATGTTTTATCATTCTAAAACTCATATTAAACATTATGTAACAGTCAGATAGGATAATTTGATTTACAAATGCCTGCAGCAAATATTCAAGACAGGTTGCATCAGTTGCTTATAAAGAATGAGATTTGACGTTCAAGACTTTTTTTCTAAGAACTGTGCTATCAATATTATGATCACTGATAACTCTGAAGAACAACATTTTAAAACTGTTAACATTGAGAAATTGCAAATTAACTCAAAGATTATATGACATTATTGATCATTTTTTTCACAAGTTTTTGAGTCACTGTATTCTTTTTTAACATGCTAGTTTAATCACACACTAGCAAGTTTGTTCTTTCACTGGTATACAAATTAGTTCCCAAGATATTGGATATTACAAAGTCACCCAGCTAGATACTGGTGGGATGCAGTCAATCAGTAGCTATATGACACCAAACCTCACAAATAATCACATAAATGTGTCATTACTTGGCTCACCATTGTGATATTCTACCTTAGTAATCAATATTTTAAAGAACGTATTAGTAACTGTTCCTCTGTATTAAATATTGTGACCTGTTTTCAGAACAGTTTAATGTCATAATAGTTCAGTGTTCAGATATATGCTTTAGACATTATAGCAAGCCACAGCACTTAGAATTGTGCAAGCGAAAACAGTATGTACAATCTGCTCTTACGCTTAAAGTGATGAAAGGGAACCTGAAGAAAATACAGCATTATCAATGGTTCAGTACAGTGTGGGTTTTGAAGAAACAAGTATTTAATGATTCATTACTGCAATTACACAGTATTCTTCTTATACAATGTAGTAGTTGTTCGTGAATATGTCCTGTAGCTGAATACAATAAACATTGAACTGATCTGTGCAATATAATGCTGAGTATGTAGACTCAACTCATTTTTGTAATGGTATCATCCAGTACAAAGACAGAACAAACCAGAGATCCTTTAGAGGCAATAAAAGAATTTTCTTTCTCATATTTTCAAACTTAAGGTCAAAATCCTGGCTTCTACAGAGGTCAGTGTCAATTTTACCAATGGAAGCAAGATTTCATTTCCAATGGAGAAAGCAGGAAATTTTTCAGCATGCTCCCCTTGCCTCAGTTTTATTCACTGGCCCAAGTTTTTTAAGTTCAGTTCTAGAATGGCATATGTGCTGACAATAGGCAAGATAAATACATTTTTGCTGTATTTCACAAGTGTTTACTATATATTAGATCTCAAAAATGGGTTGCATTTGTTACCTCCTTTCTGTTTTTGCCTTTCCCTTGTGTATGGTATCTCCTAAAAAAGGTTTGAGGATCAGTCATCTCCAAACATTTTGCTACTACACAGTGCTTGATTAACACTCTGTCTGCCCACTGAAGTCAGAAATGAGCCACAAACGTTAATTCTGTTTAGATGTTTGTAAAATATGTTTGTCAGTGTGTTAAGTTTTATATTAACATGCTCAGTGAAAAGAAATACATCATTATGGTGCTACATACCAAGGACAGGGGGATGGGCAAGTTTTGCCTATCAATGGGGGCAAACCATTGTTTATAGGTCAATTAAATACAGGATCTGACACCTCCTCTGCCAAAGTGACATTTACATTACCAAAGAGGAAAGTTTTGTCACTCCTGCTAAAGTATCTGCAAATCAGGGAAAGGTAAATATATTTTTGAAGGTACCAAAAGTTTTGTCACTCCTGCTAAAGTATCCGCAAATCAGGGAAAGGTAAATACATTTTTGAAGGTACCGTTGAATCTACACTTGTCAAGGACCCTAAGAAAGTGATTGCTGTAAAAACTAATATTCTTTACCAGCAGAGGTTCTCTCTGAGGAATTCATCCTGAGACATAAAGCACATGAAAAGACAAAATTCTTGATGAAGTAGGTCAAGAAAATGCCCAGAGTAAATCGGTGGCATATAGGAACATTTGTTTTAGGTTTGGTGGTTTTATAAGAAAAACAAATAAAATCATTGGTTTGTTTGCATTCACCCTTGTCTTTCAAAAAAACTTTATGTATGTGATATATAAATATTTTTATTTTTCAAGTTTGCTATCAAAATAACTGTCTAGTATCAAGCCATTGGTTGTTATTTTTCGTCTAAGAGTGTGACAAATCTAGAGAACAAAGGCAGTGTAAGGGATCCTTTTCCTTTCCCCTTACTGAAGATGTTTAAAAGGTTAGTTAAGGACCTGGAGAAGTGAGCCAAGAGTGTGTTCTAGGAAAAAAATGACAGAAAGTTGTATATATTGGCAATGCCGATTTTATACCACTTATGTGAATGTACAATTCTTTTCTAAAGCATAATCTTAGCCAATAGCCATGTCTGACCTATCAGACCTTTTTGCTATTCCTAGTTATGGTTGATAGAAACTAGTACTGTGACCTTTCTCCAGAATTCTATTTTCACTTCCATTCTTCAGCTGAGCAGCATCCTTCTTCTTCTGTATGCTGAGCAGCTTACATATTTTTTTAACATCAGTCTTCTAAGTCTTTAGTTCATACGAAAGTTCAGAGAACAGACAAGCCATTGTTGGAGGCTGTGATACCACTCAGATGAGTTCAGATCATATGCATTCAAGTCAGTTGCCTGGAGACACCAATTTTTGAGAACACAGAACTTAACTGTTCAGCTTGTGAGAAACTACTTGCTAGATATGGGAAGGGAATCATGTTAGAAGATGTACAGTTAAGTTTTCAAAGTGTCATGAGAAACACAGATTGATGTTCTCTGTAAACCTAAGCCTGCTCAATTATAGGAGACATTTGACTGTGTGATTGCATGAATATAGCATTAATGAAAGATAGTCTTATGAAGGAAAGGAACTCTCCTGGCTGGGTTAATATAAAGTCATTGTTTTACTTCTATAATTAATTTCATTTTATTTTCATGAACATTTTAGGTGTATCAATACATGCATGAAACCATAACTGTTAATGGCTGCCCCGAATTCCGAGCCAGGGCCACTGCAAAGGTAGGATACGTGCAACTGTTGAAATATGTGTTACCAAAGTGATCTAGTAATTGACTGTGCGCGTGTGTGTTTCAGGTATTCGTGTGTACACTGTAAGAAAATTTAGACATCAGTGGCAGCCCAGAGTCTAGAACCAGTGCTACTTCCCAGGTAACAATCATAATGGAAAATTTCAACCTTTATGCTGCTTCTGTAGCTTAAGAAAAGAGAATGATTTTATGGAATAGAATGCTTTTTGAAAAATTGCTTTGCAAAAGCAAATCTACTGGTTCATTCTGTAGACGTCTGCCTGCAACAACCAATCTTTTAATGAACTATTTTCCCATACATCTCATCCAGAGAAGACGCAATTATTTGGGAGATAGAAACTAAACAGTCAAAATTCCTCTTTTAAGTAATGGCAACTGTAGGTTCTCACTGAGCATGTGGTAAGAATGAACAGTAACACAAATGGCCTGATCAACATTTTGTTGATTCCACAGCCAAATGCAAGCCTGTTTTTTCTGATACATTGCCTGTTTTAATAAAATATATGGTTTCTTTGTCCATGCGGATGTGCCTTTCTCATATCCTTAGACTATCCTTAGACAGCTACATTTCTGCTTCTACTAAAATGATAATTTTGTATGGGAATTCGCACACCCATGAAAGAACACATTCTGTGTGCCAGTATGAAATATGCTCTGTATTTTCATAAGATGTACAAAGATAGATGCTTCCAAACAAGGGGAACCACCATGGCTTTCTTTTTCCCATTATCATTTTGTACAAAACATTGTCTTCTATGTGATATAGCAGATTCTATGCAAAATAGGTAAACTTGTGAAACCCCTAAATCTTTTTGAGAGATGCTTCCTCATGGTCCCATTCCTGTGAAGATAGTGACAAAACTCCCTGAAATCCTAACGGGACTACCCTAAGATTTTACCATTATGTATTTATATTAAGATATTTTAATTGAAAGCCACATCAGAAGATGAAGGCTGGGAGCATGATACAAAATTATTTTAGAGAAGCAAACTCTATAATAGCCAGCAAATAACCTAATATACCCTAAATTGCAGTGTATTTTCCTTAATAAATAGAACATTCCTTTCTGTAGGCTGTTCTTCTGATTTTAACCTTCTAATTGAAAGTTAATGGTCAATGTAAACTTGAAAGGTCTATGGTTCTAGCTAGAGAAATGGGTATATAAAATCCTTATTTGTTTACACTGCAAATAAACACAGAAATTGTTGCTGTTGTTTAGTAAATGGGGAGAAGACCAATCAGTGTTTCCCATTCTCATTTCTTATTCATATAGAACAGCAGGGTTACAGAGCAATGTTTCAATATCGCAATATTTCCTGGTTATTTCTGGGCTGTCTGCATTGCATTCTCCTCGTGCATTCATGTCTGACATAAAATGTATGCATGATGACAAGTTCTGCATGTGCAAAAACATGTTGAGAATGATCCATTATGTCACATCATCCACTAGCTTCTATTAAGCATAAGCATTATAAGGATGCTCAAAAATAGTACTGTAATGCAGAATTGTTCAAGCAGTTTGCACTACAAACACATGTTGAAAGGTGGAAAATATTTCCTGGATGTTTATTTAATGATTTACTAAGATCTATAAGTAAGAAAATGCTTGTAGTGAAAATGAAGTATAAATGTAGTAATTTTCTGGTTGCAAGCTTTACAGTATGTTACTTCTTTTCTTTCCTAGAATAAGATTAACAATATAGGATTTTTCTCATTGCTTTATATATCTCTTACTGTCTTAAGATTTAATTTTTCAATAAACATTTTGAGCCAATTATGTTTAAAAGTCCCCTTATTCTTGTTCCAGGAGTTCTTTAGTTTGCAAGATTTCACAAAGATTATAAATTAAACTTTTTGACATAAGAATATCATTTAAAGATTTTTTCTGTTCTCAAAGAATAAAATAAATACTTCCATAACTCTGAAAGCAAAACAGAGAGTTAACAGTTCAGTTCATCCACTTTCTTTCAATTAGGAACACATTAGAGATCATATTATCTTATCCCACAGGAATAAATTTTCTCCCTGTGAAAAGACAAAGAAATGCACTAGTAATCATAAGGGTTCCCCACCACAGAGTCAGGCTTCCCAGTGCCTGCTTTTGGCTCTGCTGCTAACTTTGACTTATCTTTGACAAGTCACCTAAACTCTCTGTTCCTCTGTTTTTCCCTTTAGTTCAAAAACATTGTCATAGAACTTAATATTTTTAAAATATTTTCAGATAATCAGAAGTATCAGAGTAAGATACTGAAATGTTTTCACAGGAAGGAACTCTTCCTGCAAATGAACAACAGTGTGTCTATCACTGTTCTCCCTAAATAGCCAAATTGCTTGTTTTTTTCTTGCAGGCCACAGTTGCTGCATTTGCTGCAAGCGAAGGCCATTCACACCCACGAGTGGTGGAGCTGCCAAAAACTGATGAAGGCCTGGGCTTTAATGTCATGGGAGGAAAGGAACAAAATTCACCTATTTATATTTCTCGCATCATTCCTGGAGGAGTGGCAGAAAGACATGGTGGGCTCAAACGTGGGGACCAGCTGCTTTCAGTTAATGGAGTGGTATGTGGAAATTTGATAGAGCTTTCATTTTCATCGGAATTTTTTTTTTCACAGCTGTTCTAATACCATGATTTAAAATGCAGCCACACAAAACTGAAAGAATTAGCTCTGTGAGAGACCTTCAGTGTGCATTTGTGGTGCAGTGAGGCAAAACTCCATCAACAACTTTGTGCCACTACAATTTCTGTTGTAATGGAGAGTGCTTGAAGAGCTTCATTTTAAATCCACACCACCTGCCTAATTTACGAGGAAGCTATGTCCTTAATTGATAATTCTGCAAATTCCTTTTGCAGTAAAAGCCTAATAACAGACTCTCGTTCTTGCATTTCATAGCTTCTGAGGCACACAGCCTTTTTCAAGCACAGTGATGCCACAGTGGCGCTTCTGTAGTTAGACCTTCAGAGCCTTTAAACAATTAAATCAAAAGAAATTGGATAAGCATGTTTGATGCTGTTTTCCAATGGAAGCTACATTCTAGTTTTCTTTCAGTGGCATTCATCCAACTTTGAGAAATCAGTTGTACAAATGTCCACATACAGGGAGCATATATTCTCAGTAAAAAGGTACATTTTTTATACAGTCATTTTTCATGTAAGTCAGGGTGGAGTATTTTTGCAGTAGTTTCACTGTGAATGTCCATATGGAGGCTTTACCAGGGGCCAGTCATGCCTGGCGAATTTGGTGGCCTTCTATGATGGGGCCACAGAAATTGTAGATGAGGGCAGAGCAACTGATATCATCTACCTGGACTTATGCAAAGCTTTTGACACTGTCCTGCATGGCATCCTTGTCTCTAAATTGGAAATACATGGATTTGATGGATGGACCACTCGCTGGATAGAGAACTGGCTGGATGGTTGCACGCAGAGGGTTGTGGTCAGTGGCTCATTGTACACATGGAGGCCAGTAACAAGTGTTGTCCCTCAGGGGTCAGTGCTGGGGCCAGTACTGTTCAACATCTTTGTCGGCAACATGGACAGTGGGATTGAGTGCACCCTCAGCAAGTTCACTGACGACTCCAAGCTGTGTGGGGCAGTCACAGCTGGAGGGAAGGGATGTGCCATCCAGAGGAACCTTGACAGGCTTGAGAGGTGGAACAATGCAAACCTCATGAAGTTCAACAAAACGAAGTGCAAGGTCTTACATCTGGACCCTGGCAATCCCAGGCACAGCTACAGGTTGTGTGGGGAAGTAATTGAGACCAGCAGTGAGGAGAAAGACTTGGGAGTGACAGTGGATGAGAAACTCACAAGAAGGCACCTTAAAGATCACCTAATTCCACCCCCTCTGCAATGGTCAGGGACATCTTTCACTAGACCACTGAAAGAGCTCCATCCAACCTTGCCTTGAGCACTGCCAATGCCACCCTTACAGTAATGAGCATCTGGTCATAAACCAGCCTTGGGCTGAATTAAGCCCATAGAACAATTACAATGAAAAATTGCATATTAAGTAAACATACGCATTCCAAAACAATTCTATTCAATCCCATGTTTGGTGGGCAGTTCTGAAGGAACAGGAGTGTCAGATCCTTGCAACGTCACCAACCAGCATAATCCAGTCAGCAAAGTACCGTGTATAGGAATGACCGATACCAGCAGATCTTTGCCTGCACAGCCTCAGAGGTTTGCAGAGGCAGAAGAATTCAAACAGCAGAACAACTTCCTGTTCCTTACTCCAAGGGGCTGTGCTGTTTCACTTGTGCAGCTATTGCTATACAGGTGAAGCATTTGTAATGTCTTGAAATTATGAGTGCAAGCAGCAGAGAAGGCATTAAGAGCAAGTATAGCGATCATAGTAATAGCATCTGAAAACTGTGGTTGTCAAGATCTGGGTGAGGTATGTTTGGAGACCAGAATCCATATTTGGCAGCACTATCATTTACTTTGTTATTTTTCCTTCTTTGGTTATGGTTCAAAGTTTTAGGCTTAATTCTGTTACTGTTCAAGTCAGGAGTTTTCCATTGATCTGGATTGCAACAAAGTCAAACTCTTACTTTCTAATTAGAAAATACTAACTGTAAACTGGAAAAATGAGATCAGAGGCAAACAGGAGAGAAAACAGACAATCATGAATTAAATGCAGTTTACTAGGTTGAGTGTAGTATTAAAGTACGCCATCTTGTTATTCCCCTACAGAACAATTACAGTGTTTGTTCATAACCTGTTCTAAGTTCAAACTGTTGCACAGCAAAACCAATCACGACAACACCAAATACACTGTCATTTCCTCTTGATGTCCATGCCATGCCATACTGACCATGATTTACTAGCAAAAAATGAAATATAAAGCAATGCCAAATTTTATACAGTTCCTTTTAAGGTGAGAACTGTATTTACAAAAGTCAGTATCAAAGCTAGTCACAAAGAATGAGTTATAAAAGAGAGCTAGTTACAGCATGTGTTAATTATGATCACCTCTTCTAACAGTTATGGGCTAGGGAGTGTAGGTAAGAGGTTTTCATTTGTATCTGTGACTTGTCCATTACAACAATTTCACAAAACATTCAGTTCATCTGTAGCTTTTTATTTTAGCTCTCTTTGGTGCATTAGACAAATTCATTGTTTCTTCTACAAAAACAGTTTCTTTTTTTTCCAAATATTTCCAAGGAAACTCTTTCTTCAAATTACTTTGGGGTAGCAGTGCTTGTTCAGATTTATCCCAGTCAAAATTTCCAACAAATATCATCACAGATCACGGAATTTCTTGAAGATGTGGTCAGATTTATCCCAGTCAAAATTTCCAACAAATCTCATTATCACAGAGCCTGGAATTTCTTGCAGATGTTTGGACCTACTGGGGAAATTTCATGAACATACAGTTCAAAAACATGAACTGATTTATTTCAGCAATCAAATTTGTATTTTCTTGAGTGTTTTCTCTATTTCTGGTAATCATTTCAAAACCTGAAATTACATTCATTATTTCTATGAGTTACATTATTGTTTTCCAAGCATCTTACAGTTTCTGTGGAAGCTTGAGTTTAATCAGTTGGCTCAGACATAAAATAATTATTTGTTGAAGGATATTTAACAGGAGAAGGAACTGGCAAGGTGATAAGCTTGAATTGTTAATATTATCTATGTAGAAATGTATCGTGTCTGCTTTTTGAAACTTTTAAGTCATTATTTCTAGCTCTTACTGTGCCGCAGCAGAAGTAGTTCTTATTCACTGTTCCTGCACAATGCTACACAGTCAAATAGGAGAGATGAAAATAGAAAGAATTTTCTTCTGGCAGTTGCTATAACGATACTAAGTTATTCTTCTTGCATGAATTGAACTTCAAATATTTTGAATGCTGCTGCTTCTCTTTGGAAGCCTATGGGTATAGTTTAATTTTAAATAGCACGGTAAGCATAAGACTTCTAAAACACAGCAGGTAGTAAAACTTCGATTTATTTTACGTGGGAAGAAAATTAGTTATTTTCAAATGGTCTAAAATCCATTCGAAGATCAGATCGATTCGAAGATCTCAGATGTGCAGGCTGTTAGGTTTTTTCTATGCAGAGATACTTTTGTTTGTTGGAATATATCCTACAACAGATGTTGACAATCGTACGCCATTAGAAAATATCTCCCTCTTTTTTAAGGTGTGGAACAATCTACATGCCTGAAAAGCGCTCCAGTCACAATCTACATGCCTGAAAAGCACTCCAGTCAGTTCATTTAATGGTAGAATATAAATACTCTTTTCACAGCTGAGTCACCTCCCTGTTTTGGAAATTTACCATTTCAAATAATGTTAGCATAGAAATCAGAGCTTGAGCCCCTTTGGGGGAATACTTGGGTTTCACAGCAGATATCATTTTACTATAAAACATTTACCAGAAAGGGAGGGAAAACATATTCATTCAGCAAGAACTTGCAATGTTTCAAGTTGTTAGTGTTTTATTACTTACAGGTAACCAGATAAAGACTAGTTTTACTTATTTTTTTGATTTCCAATAGAGAGCCCATATCCACATAAATATTAAACATGTGTACAATGCTATTAACTCTCTAAGACAGATGTTGAACAGGGAGCAGCAGGCACACTCCTCCACATGCACCTCAGCAATGGAAAAGAGACTCAGGGCAGCCTTCCAGTACTCTAAAGGGGCCTACAAGGGACTTCTTACAAGGGTATGTAGTGATAGGAGAAGGGCTTCAAGCTGAAAGAGAGTAGGTTTAGATTAGAGGCTAGGAAGAAATTCTTTACTGTGAGGGTGGTGAGGCACTGGCACAGGTTGCCCAGAGAAGCTGTGGATGCCCCATCCCTGGGAGTGTTCAAGGCCAGGTTGGATGGGGCTCTAAGCAACCCAGTGTATCTATTGGAAGATGTCCCTGCCCATGGCAGGGGGATTGGAACAAGATGAACTTAAAGGTCCCTTCCAACACAAACAGTTTGATTATGATGATGATGACTGCTTAATCTTAACATTATTCCCTGTATGATCCAAGCAGGGACAGAGCATAAGAAAGGAACTGCTATTTCAAACTTGCAATTTCTTCAGTTCTTGCCAGCATTTAAATAGGATTTTATTTTTGCTCCTTGCAAACAATTTGTTTGGGTTTTTCAACATTATTTTTGTTTTCATAAAGCTTGTTGAATATGTCCCCTCATTTTCACGCAGATCAGAAATTAGATTTGTAACTGTAACCTAAAACAGATATAGGTTATGTAAAATATGAAAATTAAAACATTCCCAGCAGTGCATAAGTGTCTTAGAGCTTTCTTTTAATGGTCCCTTGAAAAATGTAAGGTGTGGAAACTACCCAAAACCCCGACAGCCTTTCCATATGAAAAACTCAGCTCTAGATCAAAGCACCATTTTCATTATTAAATCTGTTCTCCCTGCTCCCAGAGTGTGGAAGGAGAGCACCACGAGAAGGCGGTGGAGCTGTTGAAGGCGGCTAAGGACAGCGTCAAGCTGGTGGTACGCTACACTCCCAAGGTGCTGGAGGAGATGGAGGCTCGCTTCGAAAAACTGCGAACAGCCCGGCGCCGGCAACAGCAGCAATTGCTCATTCAGCAGCAGCAACAGCAGCAAACTACACAGCAAAACCATATGTCGTAGGTGAGAGGATTCATTGGTCTTCCCCAAAATCCACTGACAGCACCCCACCTGGGCCAGCCACTCCCAAGGGTCCACTGTCAGGGCAGTGCCTGGTGCCAGGGCCCATCCCGGCCCCAATCCCAGGGCAGCTCCAGCCCCAAGCACCTGCCTGGGAATGGGGTCAGGCTGAGACATGAGTCCACAGGTGGGCCTAGCTCGGTGGGACCCCATGGCCAGGCAGGAACATGAGTTCCTGGGCTGTGGGCAGGATGGGGGGAGCCCCATGAGGGTACAGTCAGGGGCATTCAGGTACCCTTGAGGCCCTGGCAAGCACTTACTGTGATGAGGATGAGGAGAGCTCATTTTTCAGTACATTTCCACATGGTTTGCCTCAGTAAAAATGCATTTTGAAAACAGTTGAAAGGTTGTAACAAATTCTGGAGCCAATATCCAACTTTTAACCCTGAGATCAATAACTACTGTATATAGCTCTGGCTATATGCTCCTGGGAGCATTTTTTAATATTAAAACCCAGAACATTTATGGTACAGTTTTATGTGTCATATGCCACCAGATTTAGATGCAGCTTAATATATTTTCAGCTAGTCTGTTACCACTCTGCAACAACATCAACAAGTCCCTTCACTGCTGCAGGAAACTCAAACTTTACTCTGTGGTTACCTTGCAGGGCACCTAGTATTTTGTTCACTCTTGACTGATATTCAATATTTCAAATAGCTTCCAAGAGGCTTGGAAGTTTCCCTGTGTAGTCAAAACATATGGCATGTGAGGTTCAGAGATTCTTCACATATGCAGTTTTTCTGAAATCAGTGAGAGTTCATGACATGAATACTTTTATAGATATGCTCCATTTGCCTAAATGAAATCAAGTAGGAAGCATATCCCAATGTCTTACATCCCAACTCTCCACATCTCATACCAGGTGTTCCCAAAACAAGACATCTGTACTAATACAAGTCCACAAGTGGCTCAGAAGGTCCCCCAGTGGTCAAAAACTGAAGCTCCCAGTGATGGTTTCGTCATTATTAATGTTGACACTGACCTCTGCTGATCTATAGGGGAAAACACCCACCTCGTAAACCCCCTGTCCTGTGACCACCAGAATTCCAGCTTTGTTGATGCAAACAAAGGCTGTGAGTGGGTGCTGAATCCCACCTGAGGGCCTCAACTCAGACAGGAGGTATAAGCAGTAGTATTTCATGAAGTAAGTTTGGGGTTTCCATGTAAAACGAGGCCATTTCAGGAGACAAAGCCAGCAAAGTCTCACACAAAGTTTTAATTTTTTTTTCAGTTACCTAGGTCTTTACATTAGCAAGTAAAGTATTTTTACTGATTTTAAATTTTTCTTTAAAGGGAAGAAAGGCAGGCAAAGACAGCCAGCAGCTTAATTCCTCTATTCTTTGTGCTTGCTCTGAGGAATGTGTTTCCTTAATTCTAGGTTATTCTCGAGAAAGAAAAAGCCTCAATCAAGAGTTCAGTAGTCAATCAACCAGAGCTGTACTTCAGAATTCCAGCAAAAGGAAACTACACAAACATGAAGAAGAATTCATCTGGAGAATGTACAGTGCAAGACTAATGTAGTTAAGTCAGCCATAGGGAGGGGACCTTCATGATAAGGCTTTTCAGCACACAGTGGTCACAGATAATTATTACTTTTGTGACTCCATTCCTAATGAGAACAGCATGATAGGCAAACCCTGTGAAACAGGGCTTCCAAATAATTGTTTGATCTAATGTTGCACTCCTTACTCTCACAAATTTGCCAGTTGGCTTTCTATAGTCACTGAAAGGTTTTTTTAAGGAGATTAAGATTGGCTGCTATTCAGGACAGGATCTTTCTCTACAGTTATCTCCAGAAATGAACAACTACATCCATTCAAAATTTTGCCACAGACATCAAACTCGTACATCACACTTCATAACCACTTTGTACTATATATTGTAGAGCTGTTTTAACCTAACTTCCTGTTTATAATTTTCAAATTTCCCTCTGGAAATAGTAATTTACTATATTTATAAAGTATTCCATTTGTAGAAGCAATTGGCTTTTTACTCTTGGTGTTTCCATATATTTTATTACACATCAACAGAGTGAAAAAGTTTTAGGTCAACTTTAATTTTATTAGTAGTAAAGTTAGGGAAGCCTAGAACTGTATTTTTCAACATAGGTAATGCTTGTATCTATTATACTTACTATTCAGAAATCTATAACTGGATATATTATATATTTATTCCATAAAATATATATTGTCTGAATGTACCTGTTAGAGAAGTAGGGTCTTTGCTTAGCATGTATTGCAAATGTAGTAAGCCAATGTTAGCAAAAGACCAAGCTTTGTTTGGCAGATATTACTGTGATAGCATAATCTCTGCATTTCTGTATCACTTAATTTATTTTCCAGTCTAATGTTAATATATTTTAAAGAGGAGGAAGTGTAAGTTGTTTCTTTTAAGACTCCAATGTTATGATTTAAATCAATTTGGAATTAGACTTCTGACTTTTTTGTTGTTGTTTTGTTAATGAAACCAAATTGGAATGTACAAACAAAATCTATGACTAAGTTCTTAAGTTTACATGTCTGCTTTTCCAAAGAAGATAGTAAAAAGCTGGAAGGCTATAAATGTCATCTTACTTTCAAGAAAATGGATCCCCAAATTCTAGAAGATGAATCCTTTTCACATGCCTTCTATGCTTCATTAGAAAAGACAGGGTAGAAAAGGAGCTTAGGGGAGAACCCTACAGTCCTTGCATGTTGAAAACTATAGCTGATGTCAGTGAAAGTTCAGTAATGTGAGGAATGTAGAAATGATCAAAACCAGTGTTCTGGTTGTGAACTTGGAGCAAAGTCAGAAACAATTAATATTTTGAAGGATCTATTCTCAACAGAGAGAGACAAAGCAAAACAGGGGAAATAGGCAGTATCATAGTATGTGTTAGAAACCAAATGTAGGCTAGCCAACATTGACAGTGTTTGATTAGTGTAAGTAGCCATTGAAAGGAAATTACTGTATTTTTTAAACCAAACAGCATGAATTCATCTAGAAAAGCTGCATTTTATACAAAGAAGTAATTATATCCGGTGTCATTGGTGACAATAAATAAGACAGTGGAGTTTGAGAACTACCAGAATTAAAGATGAAATATATTGTATTGTGCTCTGCACGGTGTCTTTTTTATACTTAATAAAATTCTACTTACCTATTTTAAAACTGTATTCTCAAACAGACATTGCTATTAATATTGACAGTATAGAAATTGTTATTATGACTGCATATAACTGTTCTGTATCTCATCAGGATGATTTGAATTACACTGATAGCTGCATTTTCAGAGACCAAGAATTCAGATTTAGTCAACCCACTGTATTGCATTCTTCCAAACTGCCTCTCCACCTCCTTCCCTCCTCTTCATCAAAAAATTTAGGTTTGATGGAGTGGAATGTGCTGATTAAAAAATTTCAATAATAGAATGTCATTCATATAGAGAAGCATATAAAATTCATTTTCTTAAGTTATTGTTAAATAAATTATTTATACACACTAAAATTAACATTCTAGTCTTTGCCAACATTTAACAATAAGATAAAAGAAAAATATAAATAAAATTCAACTGTCAACGAATTTGAAGAAAACAGGAAGAAATAACTTTCTGTCATTTTTCATGCCCCTTACTAATCAATAAAAAATATAGCCCTTTAATCACAGAACATTCTCTCTCCCTAAACCTCTCATCATGTGTTTGCTTGTAGACAGTCTTTTCATTTTTGATTTAAATGTCTTTGGTCCTGATGCAGTAAGGCACTTCCACATGTGCATTGCTGAATTAGGACCCAGAAGAAGTTCAGGGAGGACAACACTTCCCACATGCAGGTCTGCAGGTATTTGTGCATTGTATTTTAACTAATTAGTCTCCTGTCATTTGCTGTTCCACTACACTGAACTGATATTCTTTGAGTCAACTTAGGGAGTTTTATTGCCCATATTTACCTTTTGGGGTCCCTCATGTTTCTCTGCACTGGAAGCAGACTGAGATGGGAGATCCAAGAAGCTTCTTCTGTTATTACAGTAACCAAAGGAGTGCCATGTGATTTTTATAAACTCTTGCATCATATTCACTTATGCCAAAGATCCAGATTCAAGATCTGATAATAATAGAGATTCAGCATTGGTGGCATTTACTTAGTGAAGTTGGTGGCTCTGCTGTGCTAGCCATAGTTTTTTTGTTTGTGGTATCTGATCCGACTGGCACTTTACAGGGTGATGAAGGATTCCATAGTCCTTGATAAAGTGAAAAGCTCACCAGTTTGCATTTTCCTCTTTTTCTCCTACAGTGACAAATCATAGCTGAAAGGTCAATAAATGCCCATGAGTGGAAGAAATGATGTAAAAGTCTACCTGCAGTTCCCTGGTGAATAGTGCTGCAGAGCTCATGATCCTGTACTTTGTATCTTGTGTATATATTTATCACAACCAAGCTTCCAGCATGACTGAAGAACTTTAGGGAACTCTTGCAGACGGCACAAAATTATATGCCTCATTTGCAGGGAAGAAACTCTTTATTTCTCTACTAACTTGAGGGATTTTGCAGTTCTAGGTGAAGTTAAGATCTCACAAGCATACCAAGTTCCTAGAATCAAAAGTGTGCTGAACAAGAAGGGGAGTGGTTTTGCTTGTGTTTGAAATAATACAGGATTTTAAGCATAATTTCAGAATTTAAAACCATTATGATGCTCACAGAAGATGTATTTTATTAGAGTATGAGTGCTGGTCTCAGAAAGTAGCAAACTGATCTCCTAATGCAGAGCTGTGTCTAGAAGAGCTAAGGGGACCCTTCCATATGTAGGTGGTGGATTATTAGCTAGAATTAGTACTGTCCCTCCATAAGCATTAGTGAGACCATTTCCATATCCAACATTCAATAAAACAAAACACGTTTCAAACCCAGAGAGTATTCTGGGTCAGTTCACAAGAGTGTGCTGCCTGCTGTGATACTTGTCTGA